ACAAAAGATCGCGAGACATATATATATATATATATATATATATATATATATATATATATTAAAAAGACGGTATTTCATAATACCACTCTTCATATGTGTTATCCGTCCCTGTAGGGATCGAAGCTGGGTCAGAGGGACCTTATGATTGATAACGCAGCTTCCTATCAACTTACCACCCAAGGGCGCACATATATATACGTACATACCTTCCTCCATCTATTTCTCACTCTCTCATTAACTTTCGCTCCCTCACTCTCCCTCCACCTCTCTTCCTTTCTCTCTCACTTTGTCTCTCTTTTGCTCATTCCCACAATCTCTTAGGGTAAGTCTAATGAGATTCTTGATCATCAAATGAGTATCACTGCTCCCAATAGAGTTATAGCAGACGATATTTCAACTTTACTTAACTTGAGTTCCAACCCTTAGGTGCACCTTCAACTAGATACTGATTCGACTCACCACATTACTCAAGAACCGTCCATTGTACCAACTAAAGGGGATATTGCCACTGATCCAATTACCCCTCAGGAAATCCTTCACTACTTCACCATCCACCACACAATTATGGAGAAGTGGGTCATCTTATTCTGGAAGAAATTGATACTCCAATTACTTTGGAACCACTTCAAGCTAATGATGTGGGCACTAAAATCTTGGAGAAGTGCAAAGTTCAAGATATGCAACAGCCTGTACCTATTCATAAATTAATGGATTAACATACCCCTCAAGAGAAATGGCTTCTTCAAAAGGCTAAGAAACAGAACAAAGGAATGCTTGAACTTGGAAGTTTACTTGATGACACTTTGCTACTTCTGGGCTGCACCCAACTGAACCATTTGTCACTAGACTTCATACCTAGAACCAGGAAGAGGAAAACAATTTTTTATTTTTTTTGAAAACAATGGGATTACACCCATCTATCTATATTGCGCTAAGGGCGAAGCTTCGAGATTTATTTCCGTTGTTGGAGGTGTTTTGGATTGTTGTATCTAGCATGTTGCATCTTTTATTCCATAATTTTCCTGGTGTTATTCATGGTAGTTTTCCAAGTCTTGGATTTTTCCCTCGTGTTATTCGTTGTGTTATTCCACGTGGTATTAGTGTTATATTGATGTTATTCCTTGTGTTATTTTTTGTGTTATTCCCCGTGTTATTTCTCGTGTTATTCAACATGGTATTGTTGTTATTCTCCCACTACGACATATTTTACCTGATGTTATTTCACGTGGTATTGGTGTTATTTATCGTGCTATTTATTGCGTCATTCCCAGTGTTATTCGTCGCGTTATTACGCATAGCATTGGTGTTATTCTCCCACCGCGGCATATTTTCCCTCGTGTTATTTCACGCAATATTAGGTATTATTACGCGCATTATTCTTATTGCTCGTGTAATTCCGTGTGGTACCGGTCCATCTCGGCATATTTTCTTCCGCACGGCTCGCTCCCTCTCGCTGTTTTCCTTGGCACGTTTCTGTGAAGCTTGGTGTTATTCATCGACGAGTTACAAGGCTTAGTGTTATTCATCGTGGTGTTCTTTTGACCTTATGCGGCTGGTTTTTGGAGATATCGGCGGTTTTATTCAAGGTTTGCGTTGTTACCTGATCGCCTCTCGCTGATTCCCAATTCCACACGAAGCAATCTTATCATCGGCCACTTGAACCTTCACTACTCTATGAAATAATTTCATGTTCTTTCTTTTTTGGGATATACTTGTAATATTTTTTTTGGACTTTTTTGCCTTTGTTGTATACCTTATGAGTGGTCGCTGCCACAATATTTAGAACGAGATTTGTCTTGCAAAAGAAAAGCTAAATTTACCTGTAAATCTATTTAATATATATATATATACGTATATACATATATATATGTATATACGTATATATATATATATTAAATAGATTTACAGGTAAATTTAGCTTTTCTTTTGCAAGACAAATCTCGTTCTAAATATTGTACTAGTTTGATTTAAACCACCTAATTAGTTGGCTCGTTGGGCAATTTAACATTTCATGTAAATCGGTAAAATTAGATGTGAAGAAATAGAGGCTCCAATTTTGAATTATACAATTAATTATCTCTATGTAATGACAAAAATAAAAACATGATTAGACAGGCAAATAAACATTTATTGTACAGCAAATCAGAAAACCTTCTCTTGTATAATGGTCACCTTGATAGCTTTATTGAAAGAGAACATGAAGAAAATACAAGTGCTCTCATTACTCACTCGAAAAGTTCACCAAAAAAAAAAACCAAAAAAAAGAAAAAAAAGAAAAAAAAAAAAAAGGAAACTAGCAATGAAAGAAAAAAAGAATGCACATACACGTACACGCCAACCAAAAACAAAAAAAAAAGAAAATTAAAATAAAATAAAACACAACTTAAGAGTCAAAATTAAAATTTAATTTTCAGTAGCAGATCAATCATCTAATGGCCTTCAAATTTTGGCTGAAATACTGATAGACAGTGTAAGCATCTTGGGCATCCCCGCAATTTTTACTAAGCAAACGAAAATTTGGCTCTTTTGGAACTGTTAGTGGTCTTCTCGACCTGCCAAACATATGTCCAATATGGGCAAGTTAAAATGTAAAGTATTTAATTGGACTGATGATCAAGGCAAGTTCAATGAGACATAAGATGAATATTCTTTTCTCATGGATCTCATCTAATTTTCAGGAAAAATAAACATATATGAATATATATATATATATATAAAACTTCAACCTCTAATCCGTATTACCAACGTCACATATTTTCTTCATATTGAGCAAATTTAATAAGAAATTAATACATGATCAAAATCAAAACTCGCAACCAAAGGCCTTAAGCATACAAAATTATTTCCCAAAACTTCAATTATTCCCAGGGTGGAGCCACTTTCCCCTCAAACATTTTTCAGTGATGATTTTGTCACTAAATATTCTTTTCATCCCTCACTTTCTATTACTTTCTATTACTTTCTATATATAATGCTACCTTTTGGGAAGGAATGGCCTGTCAAATATAGGCATCAACTGAGCTTTTGGTACCATATCTTTCCTCATAATCTTTATCTCCTCTTCTTCTATAACCTTCTGAATTTTCTCTTCAAACCGCCTCAAAATCTCCAACGAACTAATCTTGCTAGCAACCTGCACTTTATTATGTATAAATGATATCAGATCTCTGAAAAGCTCAACTTAAAAGAGTTCTCAAATCCTTACCATATTGTTGAATCCAGCACGTCTTGCCGCTCTCTCTTCAGTATGAAGCCTAAAGCTGTGTGGCTTCGTTTGCTCCTTTGCTGAGAGTTTCTCCAGAATCTGCAAAGTTTTTGCCAAAACACAATGAAACGGCAAAGAAGGGAGTTGATTGAGTTAAATTAAGTGAAATTGTATGCATTGACATGAGCTTTCTCAGTAGTTATTGGCAGGCTCTGCGCAATCGGAATCCGATGTGTAACGTCTTCAGCAGCAAACTCTTGCGCTTTTCGAACAAAACCATGCTCTTTAGCTTGTCCTTGCTGCTGTTTGAAAAAAAAAAAAAATTTTAAATATTGATGAATTGATTTTATATTTTAGCATGCGCACGCAATTCTGATACTGAAGTGATACATAGTAGGCTCATCTGAAGTTCTAAGTTTTATTTTGACGCATCAAACTAATTGGTCATGTCCTATACCAATGAGCTTCGGCTCGAACAGTTCATTTTTTTTTTTCAGTTTTGAAATGTCAGGCAACAATTTAAGTTGACATAAAATTTAATAATTACGATTGATTTTATGCTATCTCTTATTTATGATTGCACTTGTGTCCACTTTATAAGTACACTAATTTTTTATCCACCTAATCATATAAAGATTTATTTATTTTGTCAGATAATGAAGGTCCATGTTGAAATCTTCCCAGCATAACTAAGGAGAAAAGCACAGGCCTTCAGGTTGGGCACTAATCAATTAATGTTATATTCCGTTCTAGAAATTTTAGTGGATTACTTCCAACCATACTATTTGCAGAAGGAAGATTCATCGCCATCCATTTACCTCGGTTTGGAGTTTGTAAGGCTGTAACTGGGCACCCTTCGCAGATTTTCTTCCATTTGAGCTGCGGTTCGCAGCATATTTGGTGCACTTCAGCAGCATAAAAGAAAGCAAAATCAACAACAAATAAGTCACCTCAACTAATGCTAATTCTGTATATAAAAAAAAAAAAGATAGTTTTTTCGACCTTCGGAGAGCTGAAGCCGCTGGGGTCCTCCATGTGCTTGGCGCTTGATTTGAGGGAAACCAGCTTCAATGCAACAATTTATCAGCAGCAGAAAACTTATCAGGTGCAGAACTTTCTGCTCCGGAGCCACCTCACATAAAATTTTGGATACCTAGCTTTAATCATTCACTCATGAGGCCAACTTTCTAACAGTCTTTGGCCCCATTAGCACCAAACTTTCTGATTAAATTTCACATCTATGGAGAATTTCTAACAAACTCTCTTTAAGCTGAGATACACAGAGCATTCAGGATAGTTATCTACGCTTGCATCAGATCAAGCAGCATATCAATGTCAGCAATTACGTAAAATGGTAACGAATCTAATGTGATATTGTTGTATGCTTTTATAACAAGCTAGTTTGATTATTCTGGAAACTATCTATATTAAAGAAAAACCCCAAATGATTGGTAAGCAAATGAGGAAATACTTGTGAATATTATGGGACGTTGTTCATGAAAATGCATTGAATATTTGTAGTAGATTAAAGTAAATAATATCGAAATATCAGAATCAGTATAATTTGGAAATTGAACTTTGGATCTCTTAGAAACCTTTTGAAAGTAATCTGACCCAAGACCAAACACTTTTAAGTGTTTTTTTTTTCTTTTTTGTAAAGAAGAGCAATGGTGGTTTCTGGTAAAGCATCTTTCTCAGTAAGCGTCTTTTGATCCTCCAATGTGTAAAGGAGTGCTTGTTCTTTATCAAATTTGACTAAGATACGTAAAAATACTAACCTTATTTTTAAAAGAATTAAATTATTTTGGTTATCGCTAAAATCAAAGTGTTAAGAAAAAGTACTTTTTGAGACAATTTAATAAAAATGTCATAGTATTAATGTTATAAAAAAAGTATCTTTTTTACAGTGAGCGTTAGGTGAAACATATTTTTTTGCGTCGTTGCTTTCGTCTCCATACAGTAGAACTCTCAGCACTGATGAACATCAACTCCAGTCGTCAAAAACTTTCTGACAAATGAAGCATGAGTCATACCAAAGAGAGAAATAAAATTTAAATCCACTGGGCCTTCCTCAGCCTATTACATGGAGTTACTTGCCTGCGCAAACAACTAAGTATTTCTATGCATCCCTAATACACTTCTAGTTTATCGGAAGTATATCCCGAATACTTCTTGAACATATCCATATGAACATGCAAAATCATGCGCACACGTAAAATGCTTTCTTCCTCAATTATGTGGAGGCAGTATTTCTATGCCATTGTATTTCCCACCTTGTTGATGTTTGCTTATTTAACGTAAAATTTAAAAATATTTTAAAAATCATATTTTTTATATACTTCACTTGGCACGAACATGAGAATGTGGGCACTCTTACACAAAAAATGGTACAAATTTAAATGTGCTTTATTAAAAACAAAGACAATATAATTATATGATTAGCCAATAGTAACAATCATAGTCAATTTAGAACAAAAAATTTTCAAGTTCATTTCATGGCTGTTGAAAAAAATATATTGCTTAAGAAGCAAGTTTGGCAAGAATTAACTCACCAAATCATACTTTTCTTTGCATTTAAATAGTCAAAGTAGAATGTTAAATTTGCAAGTTTAATCTATCTAAGAAAGTTACTATGAAACCATTGATACTTCAACCGTTGATTCAAAAACAAGGAGAAAAAGATATAATGAGACCATAGGCAAGGCCAAGTTATATAAGAATGCAATACTCCCTTGAAAACCTTTCAACAGAATTATAGAGGGTGTGAGATATAAGAACTAAGAATTAATCTTTAAGGTCATACCCTTACATTTATGAAAAAAGTAAAACTTTAATTAAGGTTTTGTGTAATGAAGATAGATTGATGCATTCTGTTTCAATATAAGCATTTATACCATTTTCTTGCATCAACACATAACACTATAAAATAAAGTTTCATTGCCAAGCCCTACATGAGAAGATTTATGTTTTAAATCAAACCCAAACATCTAATTATTCATAAAGCTCTAAATTCTAGATTTCTTCTCTTTTTTGCTTTACTTGGTTTGTTATTAGAAATAACTTTTGAAAAACTCGACACTTTTTTACTGCATTTTTAAAAATAACATATAAATAACTTTCTCGTTCTACTACGCATCCTATAAAAAGTAACTTATGATTAGAAGAATAACAACTCAACTTCAAAAATTTATGCATTAAGAATATGTTAAAGGAAACAGAAATTCTATTGAATGAAAACCATAAAAAACTAGAAGCCATATATCAAGGAGTATGAAAGCAATGTTACTTATGATTCATGAAATAAGAAAGAAGCAATATTTTCTATTGTGAGAATAAAAAGAGGGCAGTGCGAGAAGTACATAAAACTCTAATCGATCCAATTGGTCCTTAAAATACATTGTGATTCTCACTGTTCAATACATGTTACTCGATGATCTCATCTCATACAAATGCACTCAACGTCTCCTCTCAAAACTCATCAAAACATCAACAAATTACATGAAAAGAGAAAGAGAAGGAAAAGATACGTTAGAAGTTCTCTCTTTCAAGGAAGAGGAAGAGTTTAGAGTTCATATTCAAACCTTGAAATCTTTGTTGGAGTGCTTCCATAAGTCTCTCATTATCTTTAAGAGGTTGCCCTAGCTCACCTTTTAAAGCCTTGGCCAAAATCAACACTTGCTAAAATGATATCTGATAGACCTACGGCATGATCACACCCGAACTGGAGCAGCCATGACAGCTTTGGTGTGGCCACATCCAAATCGGACATCGTTGCCATGCTCGGACCTACTGTGATTGTGTCTTTCAACACCATATCATGTGTTTTAACTTTGCATTGCATGCTTGACATCTATTACATGCAATATACCACAAATAACCTTCTACAAACATAACATAGTGATAAATGATGAATAAAATATGATATTTAATGTAGGATAAATATGTAAATTTACCTCTTATCAATTATCTCAAAATTTTTACTTTCTCTCAAGCAATCTCATATCTCATCAATGATTTAAAAGATGTTGGAGCTTCCAGTTTCTTGAACCGGATTATTTAATTGTAATAAGAGATACGAAAATATCAATTCAAGATGTGGTATACATTAATTGTAATAAGCTCGTCCTTCCTTTAGTTTTCTTCTTCCTAACCTTAAGAAAATCTTAAAATTCTAATCTGGTGTAATTGAAATATTTTCATTTCCCTAAGATAGTCTTAAATTGGTTAAGGTTCTACTAACCAGCCGACCATCCCTCCACACCTTAACCTAATTTCAGAATAAAATAACTTAACAATTTCATTAAAAAGTTTTTAAATCTTATTTTGTATGAGTAAACAAAGACACCAATTTTTTATTTTTATGCTCACCTCAAACTTCTTCTCAGGATGGCTGACCTTTTATTTTGATTTCTCTTTTAAAACAGGCCTTTCAAAATTCTTTAGTTTTTATTTTCTTTTTTAATTCTTTTTTTTTTCAATTCCATTGTGAATTGCACTATATGGTGGAGCACATTTTTTAAAGAAGAATGCCTAATTACCCCTAAATTATAATTTTTAATTTTTCTTACTATTACTCCAAAATAGCTCATCTACAAGTCAAGACTCAATTAATATGGTTGGATTGAATTTTAAAAGGCTTAAAATATCTCTGATTGATTACTAATATTTCTAACAATAGCCAACAAATTTACATTCTGTTCCCATTAACCACTCGGGCTTCGACCCAGGAAAAATGAATTCTAGGTTTATTTAGAATTCATTACCAACTTCATTTTGTAGTCCACTACCCTCAGGGGAAGTCAAATCCACGTTGCCTCCTTGAAAGAGAGATGCCTTGAACCACTAAACTTTGTTCTTTGTTAGTCCTATCTATAAAGGGAGAGCATATGAAAAATATAACTGATTCTTTTGTTTCTGTGGGGCACTGGACATCCGCTAGGAGTTTCGAGTTTAATACCGATATTTTAGCAACAAATCCAATAAATCTAAGCGTAGCGCTGGGTGTATTGATTTTCTTTGGAAAGGGAGCGTGTGCAAGTTGTGTATTTCAAGAATATGTTGGATTTAACCGATGAGGGCATACCCGCTATGAGTGTGTGTGAGTTGTGTATTTCAAGGGAAGTCGAATCCATGTTGCCTCCTTAAAAAAAGAGATGTCTTGAACCACTAGACGATGAGGGCATACCCGCCCAGACTGCCCATCATACTATGACAATAGTATGAGTAAGTTTTTTGGAATTGTCAATATGTCTAATTAGAATCAAATGTATGACTAGGTCTGGGGAGTCTTTCCTACTTTTATGTTATGATCCCATTACTCCTGAACGATAATTTTTTATTTTTCTTACTATTACTCCAAAATAGCTCATCAACAAGTCAAGCCTCAATTAATATGGTTGGACTGAAATTTAAAAAGGCTTAAAATATCTCTGATTGATTACTAATATTTTAATTATTTTAAGACATCTTGAGATTCAGGTAAAAGTTGTTGAAGGGTAGACTTGGTTATCATATCACTAATTTCAATCCCTCCTTGTAATAAGTATTAATTTTTTAACTAAATTAATTGTATAATCACTTTAAATCATCAAGATTCCTATCGTGAGTCCCCACTTTACAGTATTATCATCAACTTAATTCTGAAAAAATTTTCAAGACAACTATGAATGAATAACTTCATCCCGCAAATTTATTTTCTATCATAAGCATGTCAAATGAAAAATTACATGATGGTTCAAAAGCATAGCATGTAACAACAGAAATTCATACCAGACAATTCAACAAAATCAGATGAAAATATATACCAAACAACAGGACATGAAGTCACAAGAAGGAGATCAACGCATGCAAACAAATTACTCAGTAATAATCCATGAAATTCATATGACTCTTGCATAGATAAAAAATCCAAAAATACTCAAACAAAATTCAGTTAAAAATTCAAAATAAATTTAGAAAATAATAACATGCACAACACATCAGAAAACACTTGGGCTGCCTTTTGAGATTTTGCTTGGTTTAATGTACTCTGCCTCACTTAAAATAATCAGTGGATTGGGGGTGACAAATCAATGGAGTTTCTAGTTTTTCCTCCTTACCAGTTGAGCATAGCAGGCTAATGGAGGAGGATTCATATGAGGAAGTTTATTATGATGGTGGTGATGATGATGATGATGATGATGATGAGGATGAGGACTAGATTTTTTTTTATTGAGATGTGGATGTACTTCTTTCTTTATTTTCCCTATTGCAGTGCTGTAGTATTTAATTTTTATATTCATGTTGTACTGGGCATAGTATTTTGTGTTTTTATGGTATAGTTTTATTCCTGGACTAGTTTGTATGTTGCTTTGTATTTGTTTTAGACTTATCTGTTGTTATATTTTAGTTCTTTATTGTGCACTTTCATGCTAATCCTGTTTAGCTGTGATTTAC